TTCAAATGGTTTTGCATGTTTAAAGCATATTGAGAATGAAGAAGAAAATGCGTAAAGATAAAATTTAATGTTTGTTGGTGCCTTTAATCAAGTGTGAGAAGTGAAATGTATAGTCATTTATTTATAAGTTGTTGATTTAGAATGTCAAGTAAATATCTTGTTGACGAATGATGGGTGATATTCTCTAATAGCTAGTTTGGAAGAGCAGATTTGGTGAGAAAAGAAAAGATTACAAAGGAAAGTTGAATCTTTCTCACATTTGGGACTTTGGATAGGAAAGAATTGAAAAGAAACGGAAGGATGTCAGCTCCCTTCCACGTCTGAAAAACTTTCTGCCCACAATCGGCGGAAAACGTGAGAAAGTGGAGTGAGTTAAATGAATTATACCATATGCCATTTTTACCCTTAAAAGATTAAAATATAACTATATAACCTAATAAAATTCTCATGGTATCTTAAGATTTAAGGGTTTTTACGTAAAATTGAATCTTGTCTTTTCAATTCTCTCCCTTCCAAACAAAGGAAAGTTATTTCATCTCCTTTCTTCTCCAAAACTCCCAAATAACATGAAAAGATATTATAATCTTTTCTTTTCTTTTCTAACTTAAGGTTTCTGTTCTTTTCTTTCCTAAACTCCCAAACTAGCTATAAATGTGATGGCATAATTATTGACTTACACATACAAATTAAAGATTTTGATTGGAGTGGCGGAGACAATTGAACAATCTTTTATAAATGTGAGGGCAAAATAGTATGTTTATGGATATAAACTGAAGATTTTGGTGGATTCATGGGGGCAATTGCACCACTTTGCCCCACTCTAAATTCGTTTCTGCCTTATTGCTGCCTTACAGATTGATATCAATTGGTTTATATTATGACATAGATTTTTTTGACACAGCGTCTAAACCTATATCATGGGTTGGGGCTTGGCTTGCAAACGAGTCAAGTCGAATTTTTGATCTTATCAAGCGAAGTCTCAATTTAATTTTATCGAGTTCAAACTCGACAAACTCTCAATATAAAGTTTGAGTTCGAGCTCGATTTATATTCGAGTCAAGTGAAACTCAAGCTTGAGCTTAAAAATAATTATTTTTATATTTCTAAAAATGAATAAAATAATATTTTCTTAACAAATAATAAAAGATTATGAATATTTGATAGGGTATTAATTATTGGCAATTTTATTATTAATTTTTCCCTTGTTCCTGCCAAATATTATGTTAATTGTTAACATCTACTCATATTTGATATCTGGACTCAATTTCAGGAAATGAAACAGAAAAGTATAAAAAAAGGAGGGACTTTCTAAAGAAAATTGAGACTCCTAAAAGCTCAACAAACCTGGCCCACAGGGAGAGGAGAAACGGACTTCCTCTTCTTTTTGCTGATGAAGGGTTGCTGACTAGGAGTCTGACTGTGAAGAATAAACGAAAAAGAAGGACATTGAGGAGCAATTAACGCCACTGGCCATTTGGTCCAGTGGTCATCACCATTAAAGGTGATGCTGGAGGTCAGGGGTTCAATCCCTGTCTCCCACAAATTTGCCACAATTTGTGGCGGTCTTAATTGACCTTCATCGATGGAGTCTGTACTCACATCGAACCCCCTCCCCTTCCCCTTAGACTAGGCTAGATTAACTTATAGGACATCTATCGTTTCGACCAAAAAAAAAGAAAAAAGAGGAGCACTTAACTTAGAAAACGAAAATAAGGGAATTGGGACAGTTTGACTTCTAGTAACCTTTCACTCAATTCGGCAGGGGACCACGTAGGAGGTTTCCTTGTTAAGAGGGAATTCTTCTTATCAGCAGGAGAGCTTCGGTTCCTTTGCGGGTTTGGAGGGTCCAGTTCCTTCGTTTTCTTTATTGGTCCTTTTTCCGTCTCTTCTAAGAAAACGACGGGGAACATAGCTTGTTTTAGATAATAACTTCTGCAATTTTGCATGGGATTTCCTCCATGAAGATTCCTTTGTTTTCTTTATTGGTCCTTTTTTCGTCTCTTCTAAGAAAACGACGGGAAACATAGCTTGTTTTTTATAATAACTTCTGCAATTTTGCATGGGATTTCCTCCATGAGAATGAACTAATTCATTTTTTCTAGTCGAAGGTCAATTTGAGGACTCGGTTCTGAACATCTGTGAGATCTAATTATTTTACTTATTTCTTTTATTTATTGGTATTTGTACGTTTCTTGATTTAATTTCTTATGCTTGTTATGTTATTTGAATGTCAAAGGCCTGATATTCGAATTAATCTAATAATCTACTGTCATTAATTGATTGAATTTGTAATTGTTCAATTGGTTAATACTAGTGGCGACTAGCGTGATTGGTTTCATATTAGGGAAACGTATAATCTAACTTAAACAAACCCTCGTAGCGTGTTTGTTGGTTAGAATTGGGTTTTTCTAATTCTTAACGCAATTTAGGAATTAAATCCTATGGTCGTACCTAGGGTTATTTCTTGGTTAGGGAAATAGTTAATGGTCATACCTTGACTATCGAAAAGGTAAGGAAAGGCTGGTTGTTTATCGCGTGTATGACAACTATAACCAATCTGTTAATGAGTAATTGAATTATCTTTGCATCGATGATCAGTTGAATGGACCGTGTCTGAAAAGTTGCACCTTTGACTAGAGTCGTATTGGTTATTAATTAATTCTTGTTTATTTCTATTAGTTGTTTCATTAGTTAGTTAATTAGTTGTTTTATATTTTCCAAAAATCCCCCACGCATTGAACTCTAGAAGAAACGAATTATCCCCAGTCCCTGTGGATTCGACCCTGCTCACTGCTATATACAAAATTTGTATTTTTTTCTTGAGTAGATAATTATTATTGCACAGACTCGACACCCTGTCAATTTTTATATAATTTTACTATTAAAATTAAAAAAATATATAAAATTGAGTTACTTAAAGAACTAATAAGTCAAATGTTTTGGAATTCGAATTCGAATTGATCAGATTGAGTTCAACTTGAATTCGATGTTAACCAAACTTGAGTTTTGACTCAGAATTAATTGCGATCGACTCGCAAGCCGCTGGACTCGTGTGCGGATCATGATTTGGCTCGATATCTAATCAGTAGAATCTCTCTTTGTGCATCTTTGTTTACACTGGATCAGCATGCATGAAACCAACATATCTTTGTCTTTTACCAATGTTACATGCACCAAATTTCATACCCTAGTACCGGAGATGGAATCAATAATGTTGGTCAGTAATTTCATACGTCAAATCAACAAATGTGTCAAGAATATACTAATTGGGAATGGTCATTAAACAAATTTTTGGTATGATGCATGGCATTCCATGGGATCACTATTATTGCAGTTTTCAGAAAATCTTCTACGCTGCTTTGGGTGCAACTCTCAAGATACAATGGCTAGGTGTATTGAAGATGGAAAATGGAAGTGGCCTCAAGGTTGGAAAATGTCAAAGTAATTAATACTTGAAAGTTTTGTTCCAACGCCAGATTACAAAGATCAAACTAGATGGACTGCAAGTGGTAATGGTGTTTTTTCTACTGAATCAGCTTTGAAGGCAATCAGATGTAAAAAACCAACTGGGGAATGGTACAAATTGGCTTGGAGTAAAAATCATATACCAAGATGCTCATTTACCCTATGGCTACTTTGCAAAAGAAAATTGGCAATAGTGGACAAATCGAGGAAGTGGGACTTGAAAGTGTAATCAACAAAGCAACAGTTGAGAAAAGTATGGATCGCATAACATGTGTGGTGTACTTAAAAGTAAACTCTCTTGGGATTGTGAAATTCCTTGACTTGCTCCTCACTAGTCAAAGGATTCATTCTGCAATCAAATTAAGAGGACAGCTTTAGCAGTAAGGGAGTTGGGGATCCCTACCAAAATTTTGATATAGCGTGTGTTTGTAGAGTTTTCAGGAATATGCTGTAAGGAGGAGTGTATTAGTGATGATAAGAGAATCTGTGTGTAACCTGATTTCCTGATATTAATAAAATTTACCATTTTACTTAAAAAAAAAGAAGGCAAATGTGTCCAATAACTTGGCAGAGGCAATTATAGCAGGTGATAGTTTTGTAGGAAGGTCACCGAGGGATAATCTACTTATATTTCCTAAGGGCAATATTAGTGTTTAGTTAGAAGGCAGTGCTTCATAATCCCGTTAAGTGCCGAATATTAATCTTTTAATAAAAGTCATTAAAATTAGTGAATTAAGAAAAAAATTTTCTGTTAAGCTTATTTAATAACAAAATTTCCATACATTTGAATACATTAAAATCTACTTAATTTTTTTTTTACAAAATTTAAAGTGAAAATGCAATCACTTGATTTGCTGTATGCTCAAATTAGTGTAATCATACTCATCCAAAATCATTTTCTTCCACCACTGCCCAACACGCTTTTACACATATACACATCCTTTCTTGCTCTCTCATATATGTGTGCTTTTGTCATATATGCATACGGACACTCTCTCTCACAAACACATACACACAAATTCACACATTTTCGTCACCTACGTACACACATTTTCTAACATTATATGTTTATCATACAACAAAAACGTGCATCTTTTTTTCTTCCAAACACACACTTAAACATACTCTCTCTTAGACAAAAATATTCGATTTTCATGTTAGTTCATTTTATCAAAATTAAAAAGTAATAGTTAAAAAATTACTTTCATCTAAAGTAAAATAAAATATTTGTAGTAAACTGTATGATACACATAAAATACAATACTTCAATTCAGTGCTCAAATTCAGCATATTATGAAACAAATTTGACTTTATAAATTGTGCGAATTCAAACTTAAGTTTCAGTTTTCAGGTTTTAAATTTTAATTTTATCAAATGCTCCCTAAGTCATATTTTTTGCATTGCATATCACATTTTGTTGCGATGAAATTGATTCACATTACCCTCTTTATTTTCAATCTTACACAACTTAGATACACCTTTTTTTTTTTTTTTGGCCATTTTGGAGTAATAAGCTACAATTAAACGAGACAGCATTAGCAAACAGGTATATCTTTCTTAACATTTTTTTGGCCTTTTTTGGTATTCTAGATACGAGTGCACCTTCCATGAGAAACAATAATTTAATAAAGAAAAAAAGAAGAAATAAATGAATCATATGCTTCTCTGTTCAATTAAAACAGACATTTTGCTTCCTGGTGCTGATTGAGATAATCATGACGATCCCTGGTGGAAGTTCCAGAGCTTGCTGCATTCATAGAAATCGCAAAAGGTCTGCAGGCCAAGCACGACCAGCAGCGCGCCAGTGGAAACCAGGGCCAGACATTTCCATGAAGCATACAAATTCTTCTTCAACCCTCTAACCGTCCTGACCAAAAGCTTCTTGCCGTAGAATTTGTTAACTTTCTCAACGGCAACCTCGATGTTAGACTTGTGATCTGAGCCGGCATAACATCTCTGCATACCGTTGAATTGATCAGCAATTTCCCCATCCGTGAGAGCCCCCTTGATCACCCCATTTTGCTTCAGCAGCTTCACGTCTTCTGCAGTGTCTATAATCCCATTCATGAGGTTGACGTATCGAGCAAATTTAAGGGTTGACTTACACATAGCAGCCTCGTAAGCCACCAGATTCCTCATTATCACTTCTGAGCTCACGTTCAAATTCATTACAGGAAGGTACAAAGCGGCTTCCTCTTCCACGAACTTGATCTCTTGAATGCTCCCAATGAAGGGTTTGCATTGCACTTTAGCATAGCGCCAGAGATGAGATACCGACGGAATTTCGATTTCATCATGTTCTGAATTTTGCTCTCCAGTACCCAGGTTGCCTTTTCTGTACAGCCCAGAAATAGTTGACCATGGAATACTCGATACAAACTTAACAGGGCTAAGAAATCGCTGGGTATGCTTAGGACCAATGGTCTCCACCAAGTCCAAGAGTGTTTCCAAATTATTGTGAGCCACTTCTGGATCTTCATTATCAGTCGAGAAGGACGAGGATGAAGAGGTCGATGAGTTCCTGAATTCTGTATAAGTTGGCACGACTTGAATGGGACCATTTACTAAGCATCCGGACACGGCAGGACCTGGGACATTAACAATCATATGATACATCATATCTAACAAATGCAGAGGTCTACGGTAACGGCATTTGTTGGTCTTATCAATAGAGAACTTAACAGGAGATTGTGCTTCACACAATTGAAATAACATTGAGATCAACTCAATATCACCTTCTACCCCCTGATCATTGGAATTAGGAGAGACTTGAAGAGACTTGCGAATCTCTTTCAACAGAACAAATGGGAGTTGATTCTCAAGCATCATGATATCTCTCGTGACAATAGTGTTGCCGAACAGTCTCCTGTCCGTGGTCTCATCGTGCACAAGATAAGAATGCAAGATGTGGAGAAAGAAACAACCGTCTATTGCTATGATCCACGCCAACGTATCTTGATCATAGTCCATGAACTTATTGTAACAAGCCCGGATAGAAGGATCTATCTCCTTCAACCTGTTGATCACGATGTGTTGGAAATTGGAAATCTGCTCCGGGGTTGAGATCTCTTTGATGGCAGCGAGCTTGTACCTCTCCATCTGATAGAGCTCGGGGCGTAAATGATGGTACGGCCCCATGGCTATGAGCTGAGGAGTATAAGCTTCGGGTTTTTTAAGGCTGAGCGTTTTGGGGACTTCAAAAACAGAAACGGGAGGGAGATGATCGATGTCAACGGCAATTTCTTTCCGGAAGATGTTGCTGATTCGATCAACCCAGCCCCTGGCGCAAGAGCTTAAGGGAACTGTGGCTGATGAATATGAATATGAATGTTCCATTCCTTTGGTTTTGGGATGACGTGAAAATGTTAAGTTTGACGATTGAGAAGCAATGCCGCGTGGTGGTATTTATAGGAACGCTGTACTACAAATTTGACATGTTAAAATTGTGGAGATATATATATATATATATATATAGAGAGAGAGAGAGAGAGTTAAATATGAAGACGTCGAAAAGTACGCGGCTATGAAATTAATAAGGAATTTTTACTGTTGGATTAATTTTGCAACAACCTTGAAATGATGACTGTAAGTTATAGGCTGTTAGTTTTGACTGTTAGTTCTTGCAAAAAAAAGACTGTTAGTTATGGATCAAATCACAAGCAAATCAATAATTCAGGCATTTCTACTCCCCCTCAACTCTCCCCAAAAGAAATCCTTCTTGTAATGTGAAAAGAAAAGAAAAGACAAGAAAGATAAGGCAGCATTTTGTGTGCTAGCCATGGGAAAATTTCCAAAAATTATGAAACTCGAAATTTAGCATTGGAGTGGGGTTTGTCTTAAGCTGCTTTCAGTTGCTTGAACATTGTACATCGATATATAGGAATTGAACTTTAACATAAGAATGCAGATACAACTATTGAGTGCAAAATTAACAAAAAAAAAATAAAAATTGGAAGACTAAATACATAAGGACTTTTTCATCTTTTTCTCTTATAGACGTTATCCTTAACAATTTTTTTTTTTTTTTGGAAATAACTGAACTTTAGAAAACTGGGTTTGGTCTATTCGGTCCATTAATTCTTTTTTCTTTTGCATATTATATTGTTCCTTTGTTAGGAATCGCTCTGTAACAAAAAATCCAATACCGACCACAAAAAATTTAAAAAATCCTTTTGTTTAATTTTACATGAGAAACGTGGTGATAAATTGAGGCGCTACTATGCCGACCCTTTGTAACAAAATTCAATACCACAGCGGCAAATTCGTTCAATTCAACATATAAGAGGCTAACTAAGGATAAAATATTCTTGGAGGGAAAAGGACATGAACGGCCCTTTTTTTTTGAAGCTAACTAAGGATAAAATATTCTTGCAGGGAAAAGGACATGAATGGCCTTTTTTTTTTGGGGCCTATTCTTTAAGTCAATCTCATTATGTTGAGAAAGTTTTGAACAAGTATCAACATTTGAAGATAAAAGAAGTAAGCACTCCTTATGATCCTAACTTTAAGTTGTTTGAAAATTCTGGAAAGCCAATTGCTCAATTAGAGTATGCTAGTGCAATTGGTAGCCTAATGTATGCTACACATTGTACTAGGCCAGATATTTCATATGCAGTTTGTAGACTCGCTAGATACACTAAGAATCCTGGTATAGAGCATTGGAAAGCTATAGGTAGAGTGCTTGGATATCTTAAAAGGACAAAAGATTTAGAGCTTTCCTATAACAAATTTCCGGTTGTACTTGAAGGTTATTCCGATGCAAGTTGGGTAACCAGTGTATGTGACAAAGTGTCTACTTCTGGATGGATTTTTATGTTGGGTGGAGGAGCTGTTTCTTGGGCATCAAAGAAACAAACAGTCATAACTCATTCCACCATGGAGGCTGAGTTTGTAGCCTTAGCAGCTGCATGCAAAGAGGCCGAATGGCTAAGAAACTTACTGTTAGACATCGAGTTGTGGCCAAACCCGATGCCAGCCATTTCTTTGCATTGTGATAGCGAAGCCACTATGTCTAGAGCGTTAAATAGAATATATAACGGCAAATCTAGACATATAAGTCTAAGACATGAATATGTCAGACAATTATTGAATGATGGCATAGTCACAGTAGTGTATGTTAGATCATTCAACAATTTGGCGGATCCATTCACTAAAGCTCTCTCAAGAGATGTAGTGAAAGCAACGTCATTGGGAATGGGGTTAAAACCCATTGTCTAAAACCACTAGTAATGGTAACCCAACCTCTCTTCTAGCACTAACACTAGGTGAAAGGTTTAAAGGGTAATAACAAGTTACTAATAAGTGGTTGTGAGCACTAGAAATTGTATCATACCATTCCAAGGTACTAGTGCAGTTTGATACATAAGAGGCTGAGTATCATACTCTTAATGAAGTTAAATATGGTTTCATAGTGCCTTGGTAATAAAGGCTAGAAATGTACTTCACCTATATGATCATGGGAGTGGTGCCGCTCCCAGCAAAAGTGGGGGTTTTCTTTTGTAAATGATCATGAATCTAGGATGGAGCACACGGCCAGTAAAAGTGCTAAAATCATTTCGTGAACTATTCTCCGAAAAGGTATAATCTTGTGTGTGCTATTTCTGTTTTAACTTTAAAGTTATGGTTTAAGCAATGTAGCCACCATAACTTGTTAGAACAAGTGAAATATTTACACTAAGAGAAGGGTTTAAGTTCACAAACACCTTTCTCTATGCAAGATAATATGAGTGCTGATTTGATTTCATTACAAACTAAGTGGGGGATTGTTGGTAATAGTTTGTAATGAGTATGTTGAAATCCATTGTCCCACATTGAAAGAGGATAAAGTGCATGTTGCCTATATATGAGTCATTGTCCTATTCCTTTACAAACTTGTTCCAAGATAATAGTTTGGAGGGAAAGTTTGGTGGGAAACTTATTTCAAGATATATAAAATCTTGACAAGGGCACTTGGGCACTTGGGGCACCTTGGGGCTTTCTGAAAGGGTGTCAATCAGAGGGACAGAATTAAATCACTTTTACTTTTCATTTGATAGTTCTTAGACTTTGTTGTATCCTAGAGGTAATTTGTCTAATAGAGGCAAATAACACCTTAAGGAAAGTGCTTTCACGCCTCAAAGTCTCTGTATTTGTCTAGTATAGTTTTGTTCTTTACTACAGTTTAATAACAGTTATGGACATGGATGTGAATGTGTCTTCCATGCTTGAGCACAGTGAACCATTGATGTTCTCTTTACAAGTACAAATTAGTGTCAATCAACAACTCATATTGTTCTTGTACGATTATGCAGTGGAAGTACGAAAACAGGTGCAAAGGCCAAGCTCTTGCTTGTAGTATATTTTAATGACAAAGTTACTAGTGTACCATTGCTAAAAGCATAAACTTACGATAAAATTTGGTTAAAACAGATCAAGTATTTCACTTTCTGCAGCTGGTTTGACTCTTTGCGATCGAACACAACCCAGGAAAATCTGCACTCTAGCGAAGCCTAAGAGTGGTTGGACGTGTTAGGGTGAAAATACAATTAATAAAATTCACTCTCATTAATAAAACCATCAATAATAGTGTATTATACATAAGGCCAACTCCCTTCTGTCATGTTTTTTCCCTTTCTTTTATGTAGCAGAAGTGCCAACTTATCTACTGATCGCGCAGGAATAACTAGTCAATGTGACTCAGTTCTGTGAATAATTTGCTTCAAGACTACAAAGTGCTGTGCAGATTTTGTAAATTCGTTTCTGGATTCTGTGTCCATTACCTGATCTTACTGATATTCCTTTTCCTTTCAAAAGGTATCTGGGTACAGAAGGTACAACTTAACTTCTGATTTGGACCTGTAAAATTAGAGACAACTTAAATGCATCTACAGCAGATAGCATTGACCAGGCCGGAGCAAGGGTTTGAGTGACCATAGAATGATCTGTGTCTGACCATCACCTGCTTTTGCCCTTGGGATTGCGCAGCTATATTAAGAGTCTCGAGACTCGAATGCAAGTTTGTCCCTTGAGGGTAACACGTTACTTTGACATATTTCATATGCTACACGATAACACATATAATGCCTACTTATTCTTACATCTTTTTTTTTTTTTTGATAAATTGTTTAAAACTTTAAGCATCTATGTCGTACTTTCTGAAGTCTCGTGTCAATGGAGCAAGAAGATGAGTTGAAGAGGCCAAAGTACTCGATACGAATAATGCGACAACCTCAAAATAACAGGCTACACAAGGAAAAAGACTAATGCTTGGATATACCAAATCCTGCAGATTGTAAGTCTCTAGACTCAATTCTCAGCCAATGCTCAACTCCAATTCGATCCTTCTTACATTTTTTCTCTTCTCTTTTAACAGAGAACCTTAATTGCCAACATCACACTTAGTGACTGCTAAAGCAAGTTTACACAATTTATCTTTTAAGGATTTGGATATCCCCTGCATAGGAGACTTAAAAACTGGATGACTTGTCTCCATAAGAAAGACATTAATAAAATAGGTGCTCCAATGATTCAACAACTACGGAACACACAACATCTCCTAGCATGCTTTAAGCATAAAATCAAGATAAATTGAACAAGCAATCTGTACAGTACTGCAGCCAAAGGGTATAAGCAAATACAGGCACAAATCCCTCAAGTGAAACAAAATTGTGCCAACAGATTTCAAATGTTTCAGTGAATTTTACCTTAATTTTGGTATAGGTAGGTGGTTTTACCTTGACTTTGAGTGCAATACTGTTGAATAACTCAAACAAATTTTATATCATTTATGTAATTAAACAAGTTAAGAGATCTTAAACTTCAAAGGGACAAAGAGCATTTTACCCTGTTAAGTGCCCTATACTGTGTAAAAGATATTTTGCTTTTATTCTCTCTTAACATCTGTCCCATTCAAGAACTCCTTTTCCTTTGCCATCCCTTCTTCCAATGTTTTATTTACCCTTTCATTATTTATTCTGAAATATTTTCTGGTCATATTTACTTTTTAAAACTAAAATTTCATAACTCATAAATCAACAGATTATGCAGCAAAAAGAAGATGGAATGCTATAAATCTAGTTAATCCTCATTTGGGCAATGAACATTCATATGCAGGAAAAGGATGCATTAGAAAATTTATGCAGTACCATTAAATTCTTCTCTATAAGATTCAATCCATCCTCACAGGAGCCAGTAATGTATTAATTGTAACACCCACAATTGTCCCACACTTGGAAAGTTTGGGGTGGAATGAAATTATATATGATCATCATGGACTACTAAAAGTTTGAATTAACCATTTTAAACCCATGATTTTGCTCAATGGTTGTTGGGCTAGCCCGGGAGTTCAGGACATTATAGTAATTTCCTTCAATTTCATCATTGA